AGATCATTTGGTCTTAGAGCGGTACAAACATTGTAAAATTAAGACATATTTGTAATGTTATATCTATATATTGAAATTGGGTGTCTTACAAAACCATAACAATATCCGAAGGAGTGTTTAAATATATTTAATACACCTGTTGCAAGTATATTACTCTCATAGAAACAAGTGTTACATAGAACACAACTAATGCTAATTGATTATAAATCCTCTATATTGTTGACTGTCTTACTACATTAATGTTTTAAAATTTCAAATTCTATATACTTTTTGACAATGGAATGCAGTGTAACACCGCAAAACGTCGGTAACGCAAAACGTACGCGTGTGGACGTTTTGCGTAGCATATCGAACACATGTGGTCATTTTGCGGTGCATATCGTACTTGGTACGTTTTGCAGCGAGAGTGTGTCTTTGCGTCGCATATCGTCCATATTTTCTGTATTAAAATATATTCATTATAAACGTTACTTTTATTGGTTCTGTCACTTTCATATTGTTTCAGGTAAAGATATGACGAAATAAACATTAATGTTCAATATTTTGTGATCCTTTATAATACTGACTTTTTTATTTAAAAAAAAAAGAAATATGCTTAAGACGAGGATGTTTTTCGAATAGTTTTTTATGGAATGGAACCAAGCACCAGTAGCAGCAGCAGATATATAAAAACGATGATATTGAAATAAATGTAATCTTAAAAACATACAGAAAAGGACGGCTATACGGACGGACGAACCGGGGATTGGACTGAGTGAATGACAAAAATAATAAAATTAAGCTTTGCTTTTGACAATAGCTTTTCATATAATTGCATCAAGAAGTGGGAATGTTTTTTTTGTGTTCTTGTTGACTATGGAGGTTTGGTCCGACCGTTCATTTTTACGGGGGATGGATTGGGGCTTTTGACAGCGTAGTCATATTTGAGCGAGAGAGCTATATTGTCATGGAGATGTGGCCTTTAAGTCGCCTAGTCATAATTGAGCAAGAGAGCCTTTGTCGCGGGGGGGGGGTGCTTTTAGCCGCCTAGTCATAGAGATAGCTTTTGTCGAGGGGGGGGGGAAGATTTTAGCCGCCTTTTCATATCTGAGTGAGAGAGCTATTGTTGTGATGGGGGAAGGGGCTTAAGCCACCTAGTCATATTTGAGCAAGAGTGTATTTATCGGGTCGCGGACTTTTAGCCGCCTAGTCATATTTGAGCAAGAGTGCTTTTGTCCGGGAGGATATAGGCTTTAGCCGCCTAGTCATATTAGAGAGAGATAGAAATAGAGAGCTTTTGTTGGGCTGCGGGCTTTAAGCCGTCTAGTCATATTTGAGGGAGAGATCTTTTGTTGGATTGCGGGCTTTTAGTCGCCTAGTCATATTTGATATATAACATCATAAAAAACTGGAAATGTATATCGTACTAAATTACGGAACTTACCGAAAAACCTCCCGACAATAAGTGAGTCTTAAGACAAAAGCTTGGTATAGTTATATTTTTAATGAAAAATAACCTTCAAATATCGCAGGAATGTTGAGTGTGACGTTTGGTTCATATATGGCAATGTTTTGTCAAATCCGGTTTCAGGGTGATCAAATTTCATCACTTTTATACGTTTGATCATGCCCACAAAGAGTGTTATGTTAAATTTAACATTATTTTGTTTGAAATTCTATTTATAAAGTGCAAAATGACAATGAAGTGTATTGGTTTCTTTGTAATAGAAAGAGCACCGAAACACGAGGTTATCTGATTTGTACGAGGGGGCGTAGCCCCCGAGTATTAATCAGATTACCGAGTGTTTTGGTGTTCTTTCTTTTTTGTGTCATAGTCAAACATAAAAACACGTTCCCTGTTGTCACGATATGAAACCCCGGCAAAAATGAACCAATGAACGAACATCTGAATATGACATTTCTGTCGCTTTCCCTTTCTCTGCCGACACAATATGTAAACCCCAGCAAAAATGAGCCAATCAATGGGCATGCTCTGGAGTGCGGGTAACTAATACCCGCACTCCAGTTAACGCACTGTGAATGTATATGTATACGATTTAACCCTGACACATTTTCAACAGAAAGGTATCCAAACTATGATACAATTAACGTTTTAATCTACATATGGCGTGATGTAAAAGGGGTACTCAGATAACAAGAATAAAGCAGATAAAAGTATTTAAAAAATATACCTTACTGAAACTTGGTCAAAGTTTTTCACTATTTAAGTAATTTACATTTATGTAATTTTGTAGAACTATTAATGTTACAAATTGAAATATAGAGGGATTATTTTTTCATTAATCAGCTTTGATAAAAGCAAAAACATCACTTTGGTCTATGTCTTGCGTACATAAATGGGATTCATAGTTAGGTACTGGCAATTAGGCGATAGAGTTTTGTTTTTTATTTTGCTTTGATGGATTGTGAGTAGCGCCGATTTTGTTTGAGGAAGCCCTCGCTCGTGCCTATAATAATGCACGAAGGAGCGACTGAGTAGAACAACCTACCTTCTTAGCCTCCTAACATTAATAAATCACAGTCCCAGATGGGATTCGAACCCTCAGCGGTGAATGGCATTGACAACTTAACCCCTCGGCAACAGAGGCCCCGCAACTTATACAAATTCTACATTTTCTAAAGTCGATCGTTTATGAGAAAATATTTTATAAGCGGGGGCGGGGAGCGAAAAGTCGAGCTATTTAAGAATAATTTAGAGGGGTCGCCAACAACAGCACGCTAAATAGCGTCATAATACAATAAATATTCCGCTTCGCTTAGCCTACTTCATAGCGTCTGTTTTTTATTTTATTTTTTGTTTCGTTGCTTAAAAATACATGTGTCCGTCATTTCATGTTAAAGGTATCCCAGACAACTTATGAAATGATATTTCATTTAGAAATAATAATTCAGTTTGATACAAATTTACTAAAATTTACCAGGGACTACTTGTTTAATTCAGAAAAAGGTGAATCACGGTCTGTCCTGTCTGTTACCAATGGCATATATATCCGTAAGGGAAGCAAGAAATACAAACAGTATTCAGAATTTTATGGGAACTGTCGTTTATTTACGAGAGCAGCGCCACCTTGTGATTATTAATTTATTATGCCCTCGTGAAATTCTTTCATGTTTGCTGCTTCGCCCAAACGATAACATGCTACGAGATAACTTCTGTTTAGACGTACATTTGTTTTGCGGCATAAATTCTACAAGCATATTATTTATTTTGAAAAAAAAATGCAGTTTGTTTCTTAAATATTTGATTAATAGGTCTACATGTATTGACATGGTCGGTGCAAACACTGCATAGTTATTAATACAAGTTAAATCGAAAAAAAAATTTATAATAGCCATTTCATGCCATGGAATACTCCATTAAGTGGTTTAAATTAAGGTATGAATAAATGCTTACAAAAAAGCAACAAAGGTCAAATATGATTCAGATAACTTAAATTTTGGAAACTAAAATAGGCAATCAAGAATGAAAAATTTTGGAAATAAGAATAAAACAGTTCCGTTCCTATGTGGGCCTTTAAAGTATTTTGCAGGAAGTAAAATAATTTTCTAGCGTGTATACACTTCAGTCAAGGTTATGGCTTACTGTCACAAGTCCTTCCACGAAATATATTTTTAGCTTTAAACGACTTTAAGGTTACGTGTACTTCAGATGAAAACAGGATGTAACCCTGTATACAATCACGCATTCACTGAATGTTTTTGACGTGATATAAATATAGGTACACTCATATCAGGTTTAAAAAGTCGGTCAAATTTAAGTATGGGTAAGAGTTCGTATTAAGACGACCGTAGGGAGTCTTATCGAACTCTTACCCATATAACTGCAAATCGGCTCTTACAACTCGATATCAGATAAAAATATAGAAAGTGTCACCTCTTTAATTAAGCATAACATTATTTTTCCCCAGCAGTCACGTACAAACAAGGATGGGGTCCAATTACTTAATCTGGCATGTAAAACAATGAGTTTTCAACAATACCTAGGATTGTTAATGCAATTCATTCCTGTTATATGAAACGAAATAAAGTTAAAATATAATTAAACAGTCAGCAATTAATAATTGACATTTTTCTTAGAGTTAAAAGGATATCAAAAAGTTACTGTGTTCTCATTTGTCTCTGCGAGCTGAGCTCCACGTGCATTATCTATGTAATAAATTTGAATGTATCCTCACATTGCTACTGTGTTATCAGCCTTTTTAGAAACACCTGACCTGGCTAATTAAAATATGCCAATTACAATTTTCACTATCAGCACTGGTTTCTTCATGAAAAAGCGGCTACACTAATTACTGCCGAGTAAGAGCCGATTTGCAGTTATTGCTGACTGTTTATATTTTCTAGAAAAGTAAGCAAAACTTCACTGAATGTTTTTGACGTGATATAAATATAGGTACATACATAAATTTGAATGTATCCTCACATTGCTACAGTGTTATCAGCCTTTTAAGAAACACCTGGCCTGGCTAATTAAAATATGCCAATTTCAGCACTGGTTTCTTCATGAAAAAGCGGCTACACTAATTACTGCCGAGTAAGAGCCGATTTGCAGTTATAATGTGATTTCGTGAGCCATTTTGCTTCCTTTTAAATTTAGATAATTCCTTGAAAATGGTTAAATTTTACTACAACATTTTTATCTATAAAGGAAAATACATGTCAGTGTAGCCCAACAAATTGTGCGCAATGGCTTTTTATTATATAAATGATGGTCGCCCGTATGATACTTCAGTTTGTAAAAATCGGTCTCCGAAATATTGAGATTAATGGCAGAGTAACCCTCCTAGTCTGACGGCAGAGAGATAGCAACTTTAATCTCTTCCTATATTTGACAAACTAAACAAACAATAACAGCAAGTATATACGATGTAACAATATAGTTCGTGTCTTCTAAATATAGATAGCATACTTGTTAGTCACTAGCCAAGTATTACTCAGAGATGTTATCACTTTTTTTCTCAAAAAATGCTTAATATTGGTATTTTATTACAACAGTTCCCTCAAAACATACTCATTTGCTATATACATGAACCATCATTTGCATCTCAGTTCTGTTGGCAATTGGTATAACTGTAGTGAATAAGTATTTTGTATAGAAGTCAAAATACTACTTTTTTATATTTTGCCACCTTCATGATACACAACTGCATGCTATGTGCTGCTTTAGTCAGTTGTAAAACATCTCTTAATACTTTAGTTAAACATTATTATTATTTCTATTATACATAGCTTGACATGTCTAAAGAATTAAAGAACTTGATTTATGTGCCATTAATAGTAAGAGTATAGGACGAAACGAAACTCTAGATACTACTATGTGGTGATTGATTGATATATATGTCACTTGCATCATAGTTTGGGGACCTTTCTGTTGAAAATGTGTCAGAGTTAAATCGTATACATATACATGCACAGTGCGTTAACTGAAGTGCAGGTATAAGTTACCCGCACTCAAGAGCATGCCCATGATTGGCTCATTTTTTGCTGGGGTTTACTTATTGTGACGGAAGAGAAAGAGAAAGCGACAGAAATATCGTATTCAGATGCTCGTTCTTTGGTTTCTTTTTCCCGGGATTTCATATTGTGACAACAAGGAACGTGTTTTAATGTTTGACTATGATACAAAAGAGAAAGAACATCAAAACACTCGGCAATCTGATTAATACTTGGGGGCTTCGCCCCCTCGTACAAATCAGATAACCTCGTGTTTCGATGCTCTTTCTAAGCGAATTTTTTCAGCTGTATCTGTCGCCAAGAATGGTGTCATTAGGAAAGGTCTACATGGATACCTACAAATGTAATTTCAGTGTAATGTTATTCCAAGATAATAAGAAGAGCCACCATTGAGTGGGGACAATGCTCCCACTTTTTATTACAAATCGGAGGAAGAGCACTGAATGTCATGGTCAAATAAAGTTTATGTTCATTTTTATATTAGCCTTCTTTTCTAAATGGAGGTTATGCGCAAGCATGAATAATACAGTACATAAGTTAATGACAAAAATCAATCCAATCCGGCCTAGACAATTAAAGCACATTTCAATAATTTAACCTTCAAGTTATAATAAATATCAAGCAGCATTATATCATTCAAGAGTCATGGTCTACTCAATTAGTCGTATCTTAAGATTGAGTTTGAAGATTGTCCGTTAAGAAACAAAACTATATTATCACTGAAAGTTTTTAGGTGGCAACTGAAAAAAACATGCAGCTTTACAACACCTCGAGCTGTTATCAATTATCTATTTCATAAATAAATTCCCGTTACAATTATTTCTGTCCAGCGCATGTGGCCCTTTTTAATATAAATAAATTAAAATTGCATAACTAGGCTCTAAAATGAATTGACAAATCAAATGTTTCCATCTTTTATAAGATGTTAAGCAATATATTGAATTAAATAGTTTAAATACCCGCTATCACCGAGAAGGACCCCATCTGAAAAACTTTTGTTTTCTTTCTCAAGACGCTGACAAAGCCCCGATGTTCTGAAAACATGACTGTCATGGCACGAACCTGGCCAACTTGCATTTACACTCGTGAATTTACCTATAGTAGAACATACTTGATGAATACATAGTTAAAAATTAAAATATTGATAATACTTGTGAGTCATTATTATATTAGCTAGACACACTTGTCTTGGAGTACTTGGAGTAGTCTTGAGGTGTCATATGAACTTTTGGGGAAGTTAAAGACACACCATGTAGAAAAAATGAATTACTTTTAACAGTTATGAATTATGAATTCATCTGATTTTCAATGACTTCATGGTACCTTCACGAAGTTGAAAAAATCTCTTTTTTTAATCTTAGAACTTTAAAGATTGAAGAATTCCTTTACGCGTATCTGATCATACTTTCTAGCCAATATTAATAAGTTGTAAGTAGGTTAATAAAGGCGAATTTTTTTATTTTTTTCATTTAATTATCCAAAATAATTAAAAAGTTGACTGTTTGCACTAAGTATATAGATATCCGTGAACATACGGAAAGTGATACCGTTTTATCTTTAGACCGATTTTCCCAAAGTTCGTTTATTATTTATTGTTGTAAGCAGCTTTGACCTAAATCATGATACACAAACGAGTTTGAAAAATAGTGAAAATATACCTTCATTATCACAGACAGCTTGTACAGAAATACTATGATAGCCTTGTCTGTTTACGAAGGAGGCCTCATCGGTCTTTGGTGCCTGAATCCTCACATGTGTGCCGTCAATGCAGCCGATTACATTTGGAAAGCCGGCGATATCGTAAAAGTGAGAAGAAATTTTCTTTTTTTCCTTATTATGTGGCCAGCGCACAAACTCATGGATGTGACTTACTAGCGCATCTGTGACACCGTCAACCGCTCTTGACACAGAACTTTTGATAAATCCGCAGGTATCCCCAATGACTTCATACATGGAACCAGATGCAAAGAATCTTAATGCTAGCAACACCTGATTACGTGGTGAAATGGCATGGTTTCTTTTAGTACTCCTTTTTATGTCATTTTCTAGTAAATTTACAACATAATTCACATCTTCATTACTAAATCTGTACCTGCGTATCATTTCACTGTCAGTCATTTCATGTAAATGCGAGGTATAGCGAAACTGACTAGTACAGTTGATCAAATAAAAAATGAAATGACTTATATACTCCACATTAATTCTCGTAAACTAGAAGTGGGATCGAATATTTAAATAAGTCCTGTAATGCATTCATAATTGACATGTCAATAAAATCAGACTATATATATCAATGTAGTTTTTTTCACAGAGGCTCCATTGGGGCAGTGGTAACGAACATTCCCAGTAACAAAAAAGTTGAATCAATGAAATAAGACAAAATAAATAAATACAATGAAAAATATAAACAAAGATTAACTAATGAAATGAAATTTACTCTCATTTAATCAAAAGGTACATCCGCTGAATGAATTATTTCCACTGAAAAAAGCCTGAATCAATATTGGTAACAGTTTATAATCCGCCTCTAACAATGGATGTCTTTTAAATATCTTTCTTTTGCGGCAGCGAAAAAAAAACTTGAAAAAATTGACTGAACCATTATGTAGCTTACGATTTATTTCTATTACAAAAAAGAAAACATTATGCCATTGCAATAAAACAGTTGTAGTATATGAACCTCGTTAGTTGCGATGATATAACACTGGCTGGGCGACATCTCGGGATGTTTCTGCAAAAAATTGTCTCGGTCTTACGGCCTCGCCATATTTAGCAGAAACATCCCTTGATGTCACCCAGCCAGTGTTATTATCCTCGTAACTAACTCGTTAATATAAAAGTTTAAAATATTTTCTACAAATATAAATCAAGTTTATCTAAAAACCGGTTTATTGTGTATTGGTCGGTCTACGTGACTTTAAACCGACAGTCGATACGAAAAATAAAATCTACTTGGGTATTCCATTATGTGACGTCACACTTCACAGGTGACTTAATTTCGCGTATACTTTATTGATCGTTTCAGAAGGTTAAAGAAGAATGTTTTAGTTGTGAGTGTAGCATAATTATTAAAACGTCAGATATTAGCTTTAAACAGGATTATGGAGTGCGACATCACGAGGTAAAAGGGTCAAGAGGTTTTCGGGATATCGAACTTTAAAAGGGTCATGAATACGTAATATCTATAAATAGACAATGGTGTGATTTGTTGAATTTTCATTTGTTGCGAATATAATAGCTTCATACTTACTGTTTTAAGTTTTCTTTCATCTGTTGATCTACTGTGATTAAATATGAAATTCATATTTAAACATTTGGAATGAAGACATTTTAAAGATGAACCTTGTGCACCTAGATCTACTTGTTTCATAACACTGTGAATGGATTAAAGAAGACACATTTCCGTAAGTAATAAATTGCAATATATCTAGATCATGTATTTTATTTAATTTAACTGATTCAGTATTTCTTTTTCGCTGCATTTTGATCTTATTCAAGCAGACAGCATCATTTTCATTGAAAAACATGTCTTATTTTTTGTGTTGCTTTTTTGTTTGTTTGTTTATTTATTTACATATGTCATGACGTTTTTTTCCGGTCACTTTCGGTTTCCAAAGTTAAACATATCGACTTTTGTTTTAAAAAAAGGTTTAAAAAGGTTAACGTCGTTTATTATAACTTTATCGATATTTTTAAAACTAAACAATTTTTGCGAATCTTAGGCCAAAAATAAAATATTGTTTGCTTCCCCTCCTGCTACCTACCCTATAAAATCACAGCTACCAAAAATTGTTAATTGCCAAACAAAGACAAAAATTTATTTTCACAAAATAAAAGGCTAGGTTCAGTCTGTTAATGAGAATCACATGTTCATATCTGTTTTATGTTTTTATTTTTGCAAACTGGGATAAATGCGGAATTTACCAAAAAAATCATGAAAACTTTGATTTAATTTTTTTTTTATAAAATATGCTTGGCATTCACGATTTGTTTTGAAATCCCAATGATTTTAGAAAAAAGAATTAAAAAAATATTTTGGATTAAAGAGAAATATATTTATACCTACCTATCAAAAAATGCATGGGTTGCGGGAGGGGGACAAAGAAAATGTTAAGGACAGCTTAAATATACCTTGTTTAAGAGCAGAATTTGATTTCGTTCGGTGCTTTGAGGGTCTATTTCCAATGAACGCTGTACAAAATTGAGAAAAGTAAAGGATTCGTTCAGACCTGACGAATATTAAAACCATGTATACCTCCGCATTGTGACGAAAAAATTGCTATCTATCTATAACAACTATAGTTGTTAACCTCATAACTATATATGGAGTAGACTCCTTTCTCTATCTAAATTAACAGTGTCTATTCTAGGATTTGAAAATCAGGGGGAATTTTTATCGAAAAAAGGGAATTTATTACATTTGTTGATATTTTTACTTCTTTCTCTATGTAAAATTTCCCCCCTGCCTCTGAAAAAATAGGGGGAATTCTCAAAAATATGGGAATCCCTCCATCCCCCTCCTAGAATAGACACTGAATTAAGACGCCATTTTTTTTATTAAACCTGACATTCCATGAAAAGCGCCGTATGGTCCCCAAGTAAAAGAATGCGTGTGCTCTAAACGAGAAAGCAATGGGCAGAACTGAATAAAATGGAGAAAATAGAAAGAGGATCAGATGTTATGAAGCCTGCATATCACAGATAATACGTCAAAAGACAAATTTAAAAAGCAGGCAACATATCCTAAGGGTGTTTATACAGTATTCAAGTAGGAATACTGTAACCACCCAAGTTTAATGTGCGCGTTAATAATTTTAAGTTAAAGAGGCCTAATGGTGGGGCTAAGAGCGAGGTTTGGTGCACCATTAACCGGTTTGAAACTCCCCAGCAGTCTTTATTATGCTGCTGACCGTTCCAAGGCGGCGCCCCTCTGTGTTCCTCAGATGTATGTCTATGTTGTTTCATACTGTTTTGGTGACACTTTTGCTTGTGTCCCTTGTTGTTTTCTCGTCTACGGTAAGTATCTTCCCCATTGCCTCTAGTTTTTATTTCTTTGATTACCCCCCCCCCTTCCCCCGGTCTCCTGTCCCCTTCCCCTTTGTGGACCTATTATTCTTTTCTTAGAATTCCTAATCAGTTACAAATTAATTATCATTTAATGATTAACCTGTCCGTGCTCTGTCTTTGCCCTGTCCTATTTTTGTTTGGGGTCCGCCTGGGCTCCTTGCCACTGGTTCTTGTTGCTGGGTCATATGGGGGTTGCGTTCATTGAACGTCGCCTTTCCTTGTTGATCTTGTTTATCATATCTTATATAAAACATTAAATAGGTAAAACGGTTTAAAGATCACATTTTCACTTAGCTTATAAACCTTACATTAATAAACCTGACAAATATAAGCTAAGTGTAAATGTGATAACGAAATGTTTGCTTTGATCCGTTTTACCAATTTAATGTTTTATATAAGGCTTCTTAAACTAAAAAAAATTAACGCGTTAAATCTTACGATCACTTCTATATATTGTTCAGAAATACAAGTTTTCTACAGATATCATTCATGTCAGTAGAAAATAATGTTTTGAATGGAATTTTGGTTATGTTCTTTAAGTGGGGTATAATGTACATGAAACAAACTTTACATATCCTTAAAAGTATCATTAAAAAATAAAAACAAAATGCTTCAACGACGATTTTGAAAATCAAAATATTCATTTCAGAAAAGACGCATTGCCAATAAGAATACAACTATTTTTATATTATTTCATAACCTGTTTATATGAACATTAAATCGTTTTATTCACTCATTCTGAATGACCATAGCGAAGCAATATCTGTATTGACGTGCTAACTCCTGTCATTTCTATAAATAACTTAGATCGACTGAAGCGATAAATTTGTTTATTACATTCATTGGTTTTTAACAAGCAGTAGTCTTAACAATAAAATTACCGACTTAAAATCACAAAATTTATATAGTACTATTTGTAGTTAAGCAAAACAGAAACATGATATCTTTATTGATAGACGTGTTGGCTTGTATGTTTAATCTATGTCACGGTTCAGAACTGTTCACTATTTAGGGGAGATAATGTGTAAGCGGCCGGATAGCTCAGTCGGTAGAGCCGCGGTACGGTATTCCGATGGTCCCGGGTTCGAGTCCCGGTCAGGCTGCACATTTTTCTCACCCTGTGACATTTGGCTTTTTTTTTTTTTTTTTTTTTTTTTTTTTTTTTTTTTTTTGCCCGGGTATTATATATTTTACTCACAGGTTGTAATTGCCTTCAGTATTTAGATTTAGTTATGTAGTACCTAGTAGTAGATGAATTCCATTTCATCATCTCATTACAACAACTAATTTCTCATATTTCATTTGACATAATTTGCATGCCGGGCCTCAGTTTTTACAAACTTCCCGGAAAATCCACCTCACGCATGCGCACTTTGGTATAAATATTTCTCTTGGTTTGCGCCAGAAATTGTTTATCTTATTTATTTATTTATCAAGGCGTATGTTTATGTCCTTACAGGTAATTGTTGTTATTCATTATGTTTCATTATCATGCATATTTCCATTGATCGTTTATGTATTTCGGATCTGTATTTATGCACTTTGGTATAAATATTTCTCTTGGTTTGCGCCAGAAATTGTTTATCTTATTTATTTATTTATCAAGGCGTATGTTTATGTCCTTACAGGCATAAACGACCATTCATACATTTGAAAAGGACCATACGACATTGGTGGCCAGTGTGGGGGACTGTGACTGATATAGCTCAGAGTTTAATTTACATTGCTCTGTAACTCTGTGAAATTCGAGGACGAATTTCAATATAGCAGGGGAGTTTGTCACGGTTCAGAACTGTTCACTATTTAGGGGAGATAATGTGTAAGCGGCCGGATAGCTCAGTCGGTAGAGCCGCGGTACGGTATTCCGATGGTCCCGGGTTCGAGTCCCGGTCAGGCTGCACATTTTTCTCACCCTGTGACATTTGGCTTTATAAATATAAAAGTCCAGACATGTTTGAATTTCATGTGTATAGTATAGACTCAAAGGACAGTCGAAATGATATTTAAAACCAAACATGTAACTGAAAAAGTAATATGATTTATATAAAGATGTAGGGCGCGTAGTCAGGCCTATAACTAGTAATTCCTACCCAATACCCCCCTATACAACTAAATAAAATTTAAATGTTTTAACAAGTTTAAAAAGTTTATTTATCTTATCCCAGAAGGTCATAAACCCATGTGGTACAATATGTAAAATATATAATATGGCAAACGTGCAAAGTTGACATGATCTCTTACATGCATTACAGTAGCACATTTTACATAGGAAATGAAAACATAATTATATATTCACCTATTACATGATGTACATGTTTATAATAAATCACATTTTCGTCGTATGTGTCAACAGTATATATGCAACATAAGTTTTAAGTGTGACAAAAATCCAATTGTACTGACTTTACATATTAGATTAGATATAACTAGTGAAGTAGATAATTTGAAAGATTAAAATCTTTATCAATTGAATATTGAATAACATCATGTTGACAACGAAAGTGTGAATTTTACATACATTTTTACATACTGCATAATATTGTGCACGGGAGATAATTGCTATGGTCTTATCGCTCGACCTGTATAAATCGAGTTATGTAACATCCACCGCACTATAGCTTTAACAGTATATTGACAAACAATATAATTTCTTAACATAATTAACTGCAATTATCTAATAAAATGGAACAAATTTGTATATAAATGTGTATTGTCCAGACATTTTTTTTCTAATAAACTACTTTGTATGAAGAATAGTTCGAAAACTTAAGGGGCATAATCTTGTCAAAAGCGAAATACAAGATTAGCCTCCCGGTAAGTTACTCTATAGTCTAAAGATGTATGTTTACTTATGTATATCCTCATTCATCAATGACAAGATATGAGGAGGAATAATTAGATAACAGCAGTTACGCTTGTAAAATAACATCTAGATATACATATATTTGAGCTGTGAAAATTATATTAATTTATATAGGATGTATCACACATTTATATGAAATATCACATATTCATATGACTTACATATATTTAAGAATTCTAACACTCACGTGATTTTGTCACTATAGACAAAGAAGGAAAAAAACTGGTGTTAAACTGCCAATAAACACCGGTTAGGGACTACTTGTATAAGCGCTGTTATGTTTTGACCCTCGATTGTATAGTTTTCAAAGCATTTTAAAGCAACAATAAATAGCATTTTTTATTTTTATTTTCAGTTCGTTTAATTTTTTCTTTTCATACAATATTAAAATAATATCTCACATACACTAACGCCACATATTAGATCCATATCAGTTAATAAATATTTTGACAAAACGGCGCCAATCCGTAAGCAGCGTAATGACGTCATCCAAAGTAAACAACTCATACATCGACGGTCTAGTGCTATAAGGGCGTAAATGCATTTTTGCAAGTTTCGGGAAATTGAAAAAAACTGTCTGCAGACTTTGATCCTTTTTCAATCATGGTAAAATTTGGGACACATTTAGAAAAACTAATATCGACTTTTTTAAAACATTTTTTAAATTAAAATAGCCCACCACCATAATAAAAATTCACAAAATCCG